CTCTAAGTGTCTGAGTGCACTTTTAGAGCACTTTTTTGGTATAATTTCACCTGCTTTCTCGAAAAAAAAGGGGTAAGGACGCAGCAACCTCCAACAAGCAGTTTTCTCTACATTATGGAGAAAAATATCCACCAGTCAGTCATCTCCTTTTATTTCTGCTGGATTTAAACTAACATGGTCTGCTAAAAAATGTAAACAAATTACAACTCCCTCGGGGCTAAACTTCTTATCTATCATCATTTCCTTTGCACACATGGCCATTGTCTCATATCTTGTCTCGGAATACAGCGCCCTCCAGTGGTTACCACTGATCATAACAAATCCAAGGACTCACTTGTGTCCCACTTTTTCTACATTTTTCTCGCTAACAAGCCAAAACCTGTAGAAATCTCTGTATAGAGGTGATTTAATTATATATTGTGGTCCTTATTTTTGTTTAAATAAATAAACAAATTTTTAAAATTTTTTTTAAAAATGGCTCCCTTTTCTGGGTGATATTAGTGTCAGCTATTAGGCTACCGAAGCGTTTAGTTCATCTTGATAAACCTTGTAATTATTTTCTATTCGAAATAAAAACACAAGCTTTGTGTTATCAAATTAAAATTCTGTCAAGTCATTCACAGACAGCGAACTAAAATCGGAAGAGCCACAGAGATCCTTCAAAATAAAGCAATCTCACAAGAAAACAGTCGACCTTTCATTAAAGATTCTCGCCAGCCGTTCTTATTTTGAAAGCAGTGAAAGCGGAAGTGCTTGGGCTATTTAAAGGCCTGACATCATTCCTTTCGTTTAGAACCTCGCAGGAGCGTATGTTGAGAAAGCTCTGTGGCTTAGCTAGCTAAGGAAAAATAGAAAAATAAAATTTCTGAGTTTGAGTTATGGACAAGAATCCTACGCGATACAATGTACAACTGTATATTTATGATTTGTCCAGAGGAATGGCTCGGAGCCTTAGTCCTATAATGTTGGGTAAGTAGCCTGCAGACAAATACTGATGCAGTCTGGCCTTGGGGGACAAATAAGTGATGATAACCGGCTGGAGAAGCCTTCTTTGACGGTCGTCTAAAGCAGATGTTGCTGTTCTCTGGTTAAAATATCAAGGTCAAGGGACTTTTATAAATATTGTTTGGTTTAAAATAAATGGCGAACTTAATCGACGTGCACCCGTACATCATTAGAAATGGCTCATCTCTTGTTTTACCGGCTTCTTGCATTAGCGACCATCTCCTGCCTTGCATGCATTAATCCCC